CCCCCCCCCCCCCCCCCCCCGGTTGTGCTCAGTCAGCGCTCTGAACGGAGTCCAGCTCGGCCCCTGTGGGAGCTGGAGAGGCGCGAGCGGCTCCGGCACTGTTCCCTCTAGGGGACGGCCTGTCTGTGTAGCGGGCAGGGCACGAGGTCGCCTTAGGGAGCTGGCCGCGCAGGCAGCCCCCCTCCCCGAGTTCTGTGAAGAAGGGGAGGTGGGGAGGTGGAGGCGTGCCGAGACCCTCATCTCCGGGCAGCCGTGGCGGGGGGGGGGTCAGGGGAGCAGGGAGGTGCCGATGGGTAGGGCAGACCCTTCTGGTCTGGTCATGGCCCCACACTGCATCCCAGCAAAGCCCCCTCCTGCCCCCCCCTCCTTCCTTCCTCTCCTAACATTTGTTCTGAAAACGCCGGCCTGCGTCCTGCGAGAGGCACACGCCCTGCCAGTGAAGCAGGACGGCAGCATCGCGCTCCCCCTGTGGGGACGCTGTGGCCAAGGTGCCCCTGGCCAGGCTGGCTGCTTTGGGGCTCAGGAGCTCCCTGGCCTAAGCGGAGGGGCTGCCCCGCCTGCCCCTGCCCCCGCCCAGCCAGCCAGCCCCCCGGGGCCCCCCCAGCGGCCCCCATCACGGCCTGGTCAGCGCTCCGCTCTCTCCCGGGTGCGCAGGTACGCCATTGACCGCGCCACGGATGCGGAGCATGTCTTCACGATCAACCCCCAGTCGGGCGCCATTGTGACCAGCAAGGCCTTGGACCGGGAGACGTCCGGCTGGCACAACATCACGGTCTTGGCCATGGAGGCAGGTGAGTCGTGGCCGGGGGGCTGGGGGGCAGAGCCAGGCAGGTGGGTGGCAGCTAGCCAAGGGGGGGTGCAGGCCAGGCGCTTTGCTTGGGGGTGGGGAAGGAGCCCCCCCCGGCAGCCCGTTCTCAAGGGAGCAGCTGCCAAGGACTCCGCTGGGTTTGATCGGACCGTGGGAGGCCTGCCATGGCTCCAGGGAGCCCTTCTCTTCCAGCGGCTGTCCACCCCCAGACCAGGCCGCAGCCCCTGCTTCTGTCGGACTGGGGGGACGGGCGGGACGCAGGGCCGAGGAGGCGGAAGCCTGCTGCTGTCACTTGCTGGCACCTCCGGGATCCGAACTCGGATCACCAGGCTGGCGCCACCCCGGGGCAGGCAGACTCTGCTGAACCTGCCCCATCCGCGTTTCGCTGCAGATTATCAGGGGACTTTCATTGCGTCTCTCACTATTACAGGCCACTTAGCCTCATGTCCGTTCTGGGAAAGACGATGGGAAGGCTCACAGTAGAGAAGGCTCCAGAAACCCTGGTCAGGAACGGGAGGTTGGCAGCCACGCAGTGTGGCCTCCGTAAAAACAGGTCCTGCCAGACGAGCCTGGTGGGATTCTGCGATAAGGCCTCAGGGTGGCTGGACGGAGGGGACACGGTGGCTGGGGTTTACCTGGATCTCAGCAAGGCCTTTGACAAAGAGCCGCATGATATCCCAGCCGAGAAATTGTTGAGCTTTGGGATAGATTGATGTACTATCTGATGGACTGGGGCACAGCTGACAGACTGCAAGCAGAGGGCAACTTATCAGCATCAGGATGGTGGCTGGTGACAAGCCGAGTCTCCCGCAGGGCCCGATTCCATCCAACCTTTTTATCAGTGCCCTGGAGGAGGAGATAACCAGTTTGCTGAGTGGATTCCTGGATGACGACAAAGTGGGGGCTGTCGCCACAACTGAGGAGCAGGTGATCCAGATCCAAAGGCATCTGGACATGCTGTGGAAGTGCGGGGGGGGGGGGGCAGCAGGATGGCGTTCAGTGCAGAGCACAAGGTCTCGCACATGGGAGACAGGAATAGGTGTCACCGGGACAGGACGGGGAGCAAGTGGCTGGAGAGCAGCACTTGTGGAAGGGACCTCGGGGTGCTGGTCGACCGCAGGCTGAACACGAGCCAGCCGTGTGATGCGGCGGTTAAGAAGGCAAATGCCACCCTGGGTCATACAGCAGAAGCACGGCTTCCAGGTAGGGAGGTGCTGATGCCGCCCTGCACGACTCTGGCGCATCCACAACTGGAGTGCTGCGTCCAGTTCTGGGCTCCACCTGAGAGGAGAGACGCAGCTAGGTTAGAATGGGTCCAGCGCAGGGTCATGAGGATGGCGGCCGGGTTGGGAGGGATGACGTGTGAGGAGAGGTTGAAGGAGCTGTGTCTTTTCAGCCTGGAGAAGGAGACTCTGAGGGGATGTGAGGGGATGTCATGTGGACAAGGGCCAAGACCTGTTTTCCCCTGCGATGGAGAGCAGGAAGCGTCCCAATGGGTCCCCAAGACTTCCTGACGGTTAGGACCCCTAGGATAGAGAACGGGCTTCCAAGGGAGGTGGTGGAGGCCCCATCAATGAGGGCATTCAAGGCAAGATTGGACAACCACATGTTGGGGATTACTTGAGCAGAGCTGGCTGGAGCCTGGGGGTCAGACTAGATGGTCCAGGAAGCCCCTTCTGACTCATTTTTTCCCCTATGTTTTCATGTTTATTAATAGAATCAGACTTTATTAACTTGAATGTTGTTCTATTAGTACCAAATTGTACCAATTTGCATTAGTGTGCTTGCACAAATGGACTAATGCACACTAGTTAATGCAAAATAGTGTTAATCATAGAATCATAGAATACCAGAGTTGGAATGTGAATTAACTAATGCAAATTACTGTAGATGCATATAGCTAATAATCCAAGTTAGCCAAAATCAAAATTACTGGTTAAGTACATCAGCACAAATCCTCATTTCCAAAAGTGAAAAACAGTTTGTAAATCATCAGAATCCATGCGACTTGGAAAAAGCTGGTCTTCATTCATTATATTTCTGTACCGCCCATCAGCCCAAAGGCTTCCTGGGTGGTTTGTAAGATGAAAAAATACAATGCTTAAGGTAAAATACTCATCATAAAATCGCAACAATGCAATTAGCAGACAATGCAGCTGAATGCAACGCCACAAGGCTGGGGGAGGCTTCCGGCCTTCCTCCTCCTCTGCAGAGGAGAGTGCAGAGGCAGGCCTCGGCCGAGAGGGGTCCCCGGGGGCGCGTCTTGCCACGCCCGCTCTGCTCCGCGTGCATTTTGGGGGGCTCTAGCACATGCTGCGGGGGGGGCGTCTCCCGTCCGCCCTCTCCGCCGCCCCTTCCCCGCCAGCTCGCGCAGCCGCTGCCCCGACCGGCCTCCCAAACGCTCGAAGCCCGCCCTCGCCCAGCCCGGGGGCTGCCGCTGCTCCGTCGGCGCCGGCCGTCAAGCGCCTGTGCTGGCGCCGCCAGCCTTGGCCCGCTGCCCCCGGCACGGCCTTCCCGCAAGGAGGAGGAGGAGGAGGAGGCGGGCCGAGGCGCGCGGGCGGGCGGCCGGGGAGCGCGGGGCCGGTGGCCTCTCCACGGCCGCGGCCTCGGGGGCCTCTTTCGGCGGCGCGG